GATATTCATCATAATTGTTTGACGTAGTTTGCTGGAATCGTTTGACAATGTTCGTCGTCAATATTTGACGATGTTTGACATCCTTTGACGATGTTCATCATAATTTTTTGACAATATCCATCATAATTGTTCGACGTACTATAGAACAATAATTTGACGATACTTATTATGATAGTTTGACGTCGTTTGACGTAATAGTTTGACGATGTTTGTCACAACAGTTTGACGTTCTTTATCATAAGAAATGCACTAAAATTCATCAGTTTCGTCACGTATCAATTCGTCAGTCTATGCTAAAATCAATTTGTAACGAATTAAATATTAGTTCGCGCTGTTGCCAAATCTCCATCGGAGAAGTTTACGGTGGATACGACGGTAATGAATTCTCGCGGATATTAGCCGGTGGCTGTAACACAGACGTCCCCCGTTTGATTATCAATGCGGATACGCCGCGTTTCGCCTGAACCGGCTAATCCGGCGCCGTTTCCGTGGATCGCGAGTGTCTTACAATGCCGCCGACTGTATAACTTTCCCTTTGAGTCGAAGCGAACGTGCCCCCCCCTCCGCCGCCACCCTGTTCTTCGATGACTCGCGCGCCGTTTAACTGCCGCGCAGCAGTTTCAAACTCCGGCATTCTGCCGAGTTCGTGCATCCCTGCGCGCCACCCTCCCCTCTCGCTCCCCCCGCCGGCAACTTTCGAATTAATGTCCACTCGCCGACGCCGCCACCGCCTCCCTTCGGGCCCTTATTCTTCGTAATTTTCCTGGGCGGAAGGTCGACAGCTGCGCCCGGGTCCGCCGATTTCATCGGGACACTTCGGAAACGGTCGTTCGAGCCTCGCCTCGGCTATCCTGATTTTAATTGGGAACACAGTTTCCTTCGATCTCTTGCGATCAGCGAGGAAACTTCCAAAGACTCGCGAGCGAGAAAAAGTTCGAGCGAGATCGCACGGAGATTTTTTCCTCGCCGAACGTTCGTTTCCCATGGTAATTTGCAAATTATGTTGTCCGAGGATGCTCGCAGGAAAATCGTCGGCGAAACGAGGTTAAAAAATTGCTGATTCGTTTCTCCGTCAATTAGGGAGAATTTAATGTGATTTGAGCGTCAATTAGGAGGAATTGACAGTAATTTGAGCGTCAATTGGGGAGAATTGACAGTAATTTGAGTGTCAATTATAGAGCATTGACTACAATCAGAGCGTCAATTGTGGAGAATTCAAGTAATCCAAGCGTCAATTAGAGAGAGTTTTCTGTAATCTATACGTAAATCAGGGAGAATTGACTGTCATATGAGTGTCAATTGTGCAGACTTGACTGTAATCTCAGTGTCAATTGGAGAGAATTGACGGTAATCTGAGCGTCAATTGCGAAGAATTCACTGTAATCTGAGCGTCAATAAGGGAAAGTTGACTGAAATCTGAGCGTCAATTGTGCAGAATTGACTATAATTTCAGCGTCAATTGTGCAGAATTGACTATAATTTCAGCGTCAATTGGTGAGAATTGTTGGTAATCTGAGCTTCAATTGTGCAGACTTGACTGTAATCTGAGTGTCAATTGGGGAGACTTGATAGTAATTTGAGCGTCAATTGGGGAGAATCGGCTGTAATTTGAGCGTCAATAAGAGAAAATTGACTGTAATCTGAGCGTCAATTGGAGAGAATTGACAGTCATCTGAGCATCAATTGTGCAGTCTTGACTGTAATCTGAGCGTGATTTGAGCAGAATTGACAGTAATCTGACGTTAATTAGAGAGAATTGACAGTAATTTGAGCGTCAATTAAAGAGTATTGACAATAATCTGAACGTCAATTGGGGAGTCTTGACAGTAAACTGACGTCAATTAGGGAGAATTGACTGTCATCTGAGAGTCAATTGTGCAGACTTGATTGTAATCTGAGCGTCAATTGGGGAGAATTGACAGTAATCTGACATCAATTTTGGGAGAGTTTACTGTAATCGACACGTCAATTAGAGAAGATATACCATAATTCAGCGAGAGAAGCTAACCAAAGTAAGCCGTGGCCTCGTAATGTGCTCGAGATAACTCGTGGAACAATCGCGGGGTACGAGTGTCCTGGTGAATAGTTCGATATCGGGAGCAGAACGGTCGAAAGTCGATGGTGGAGCGACGGGTAATCCGACTGTGATTTCGTTGCCCGATATTCTTCGGTTCTAATGGATGATCCTTAAGCCCGGGACAGGGGTCCGGGGGGACGGGGGCAGGGTCTCGCCACGAGTGTACTTCGTTGGAGTGTCTCCGCGCGGCCGGGAAATGAAAAAATCATTGAACGACAACGAGTCGCGGCGGAAAAGGCCGTCGGTGGGAACGGGGCGGGATGAAAGGACGACGAGAGGAAGGGCGAACGACGTCCCGCAAAAAAAGCCAGAAGTGACTCTCCCGTCGATGAATTACCAGCCGCCACAATCCACCCTTCAAAGCGGGAACGTTCCGGCCCGTGAAAATCTCACGGCCGAGGGAGCTTCGTTCTTCCATGGCGAAGAAATCCGGACCGAGGTGGGTCAACACCGGTGTCCCGTGGATTTAATTTAGCGAAACAATCGACGGGCCGGATGGCTCCGCGGATCTTTCCTGTCCCCGATTCGAACGGTCTGCGCGAATCTCCAGTTTGCAAACAACGCGGAAGCTGAACTCTTCCTGTTGTTCCCCAGTCCACAGAAAATCTTCGAGTCACAGTAAATTCTCTTCAATTTTCGTTCAAATTACATTAAATTCTCTCTAATTCACGTCAGATTACTGTCAAGTCTCCCCAATTGACGCTCAGAGGACAGTCAATTCTCCCTAATTGACGTCAGATTACTGTCAAGTCTCTCCAGTTGACGCTTAAATGACAGTCAAGTCTCCTTAATTGACACTCAGATTACGTGAATTCTCTCCAATTGACGCTAAGATTACAATTAATTCTCCCCAATTGGCACTCAGATTACTGTCAATTCTCCTGAATTGATGCTCAGATTACTGTCAATTTTCTCTAATTGACACTAAGATTACAATTAATTCTTCTCAATTGACGCTCAAATTACAATCAATTCTCTCCAATTGACGCTCAAATTAAGCCAATTCTCCCAAATTGACGCTAAGATTAAATCAATTCTCCCAAATTGACGCTAATATTACAATTAATTCTCCTCAATTGACGCTCAAATTACGCTCAATTCTCCCTAATTGACGCTCATATTACAGTACCTGCTCCGCAACTGACGCTCAGATCACAGTCAATTCTCCCCAATTGACGCTCAAATTACACCAACTTCTCCCTAATTGACGCTCAGATAACCGACGATTCCGCCGTAGACCGGACGGGTCTCTTTTTCTAGTCCGAGATGCACTTCGAGGCTATTCAGACCTTTCTGCATTATTTAGGGGCTTATTTTGGGGATGACAGAACTCTGTATACTTTCGGATGCGTTGGTCCGGAGTGTCCTGGCGGACGTGTTACAACTTCGAGATGTATTTTTCGGGGTTGCTTTGGTACGTGTGCTGGAAAAGATGCGACGTCTGGGCGCAGTGCTGCGACGCGCTTCTAAACGAAATGGACGATGTGCGATGTGTTAATGGCGATGTGCAATTAAATAATTGAAGCGAATTAGAGATTAATGGATTATTGATTTTGATTTTTGTATTATTATATTATTATATTATATTATTATATTATATTACTATATTATTATTTTATTATACTATTATACTATTATATTATTACATTACAGTAATTATATATTTATATTTATATCTTATATATTATTTATTATATTCTGCATCTTTATCGGTCGAAATCGTCGAGGCCCGGCAGAGGGACACGGAATTGACCGGCGTCAAAACGCGTCGGAACATTAAAAAGAGCGTCCGGTAAAGACCCGGGCATGGTAATCAAGAGTTGCCCGCGACGCTGCCCATGAATCCATGGTGTATTACGGTTCCTCGGCGAGGGAAATTTCGCGGCCGTACGTTTGTTCCGAAAAACTTTTTTAATAAAGAATTTGTTGCCCGGCAATGAGGCTTCCTCTTGTACGCCGAGGAATAACAAAAGTTCCCCGGGTTATATTACGCCGGTGATAAATTGCCGGGCGGCGGGGCCCCGGGACAAAGACAGCGAACAGAGATTCCAGGGAAAAACGCTGCCCCGGATTCCCCAAACGTCGCGCGCGGCCTCTCAAGACCGAAAATGTAATCCTCGGGACTTCGTGGGCGCTCTGACAAAAAAAAAAGAAGAAAATATAACCCTCGGAAAATCGTTCCGCGCAATGAAGGGGACTCGGATGAATTGTGGGACTCGAACGCGTTCAAAGTAGGTACAGTAAGTACTCCCTTATTGACGCTCTGATTGCGCAGGAAAATGGACAGTTTGGGAAGAGGAGACTCGACTATTAGAGCCGCGCGATTCGTTTTTTTATAGTCGCTGATTGTCAACAACGACTGTTTCTATATTTGTTGATAAACGGTAACTGTGTGTATGGGAATGATTATAAATTATTATAAATCATTATAAATCAATATAAATGATTATAAAGCATTATAAATTATTATTATATTATATTAACGATAATAATATGATATATTAACAATTATAAGCGATTATAAATAATTATAAAAGATTAAATATATAAATATATATAAAAGATTATAAATGATTTTAAATGATTACAAACGATTATAAATAATTATAAACGACTATAAATGATTACAAATTATTATAAACAATTACAAATGTTTAAAAATAGGTATAAATGATTACAAATTATTATGAATAATTACAAATATTTAAAAATGATTATAAATGATTGCAAATTATTATGAATAATTACAAATGTTTAAAAATAAATATAAATGATTACAAATTACTTTGAATAATTACAAATGTTGAAAAATAAGTAGAAATGGTTACAAATTATTGTGAATAATTGCAAATTTTAAAAATAAGTATAAATGATTACAAATTATTATGAATGATTACAAATGTTTAAAAATAATTATAAATGATTGCAAATTATTATTTCAGTTATTATTGCAAAATGGATACAACATTATTAAGAAAAAATTGATTGGACAATTTTTAAATATCGACGAACTTTGATGAACAAAATGAAATCAACAAAATCGATTGACAAATAATTGTTTATAATTCGGTTATTGGCACGGTTTAAACAGTTCCCACGTGGAATCGAAGGAAACGATGTTCGCAGGCAGGAAACTGCGATTCGTAAATCGATTTTCCTCCTCCAGCAACTGGACTATAATTTCAAACAGGAAACGGAGTGGATGATGGACGCCTCCCTTGGACACCTTGAGTTATTTCTTCTATCAGGAAATGTGCCTGAAAAAGGGGGATCGGGGGTATTAATCAAACTGTAGGTACTCGGTAACGCCACATTATCGGACGCTCGCAAGCGATAAATTCGACCGGACTCGCAGACGACTGCACTGTCGACTTTGTTATTAAATTAATTTGGTTATTATAAGTAAGTTTGGTTATTTAAACGCAGCGCAATTATTGTCCTCTGCAATCGTTGCAGACAATTTCTATTCTGCTCAAAAATCCTCGGTATAGTAATTAATAGCATTGTTATTAATAATTATTATTAAAATCAATTTTATATATTGGATTAATATTAAAAAATTATTAATAATTTTACATAACCCTGCGATCATTGCGGACAATTTCTATTCTGCTGAAAAATCCTCGGTATAGTAATTAATAGCACTGTTATTATAATTGTTACTATTAAAATCAATTTTATATTGAATTAATATTAAAAAATTATTAATAATTTGACACTAACAAATTCTTAAATGCAAATTCCTATCAATTCGATAATAATTTCTGTCCTGGAAAAGTCTGACAATGCTGTTGATATTTTTAACGAAATCTTTAGGGTAAATTCATTGGTATTAATTAATATTTTCCGTCCCAAAAAATTGAGACAATGCTGCAGAATTTTTTACCAAATTCGTTTGAATACAATGCTATTTTCTGCCATGAAAAATTCTGACAGGGTAAATTCATTGGTATAAAAAAAAATTTTCTGCACTGAAAAAATTTCAACGACAATGACCATTTCAATAAATACTTCGGCGAGGATTCGTTCGAATTCATTAGTATTTTGCGTTATTAATTCGTCCCGTCTATCGCGCGTACACGTTTCGAAAGCGTTTCGGCCCAGCTTCCCGGGGTAACGAGTAAACAATTAATAGTCGAAATTATCGGTCGATTTTAACAGATTGGAGGACCGTTCTGATCGATACGTGAAAAGTTCTTGTTAACGACGATCCGGGGAACAGTGGCGCGTGATTAACGGAGAAATGCGCGGATCGTTCGTTTTTCGTTGGATCGAGTTCCGCGGGCATGTTCCCGCTAAATTAAGTACTCGTTCGGGGAACAATGGGCGTTTGTTTAACTCTCATATTGTGATCACGTAATGGCTGCATTTGTACCGATCCTGCAAAACGCCGCGTCCAAATGAAAAATCAATCGATGAAAGACCGATTGAGGGACGAAGAGAGGGACAGAGGGGTGGAGAGAGAGAAGAAGAGAGAGACAAAGAGAGAGGTAGAGATAGAGAGGTAGAGAGAGAGGAAGAGAGAGAGCGATAGGGGCTGAGAGCGCGACAGAGAGAAAGAGAGAGAGAAAGAGCGATGAAGGGAGCGCGCAAGGGAGAGAGAGAGAAAGAGAGTGAGAGAGAGCGTGAGAGAGAGAGAGAGCGCGAAAGACCGAGAGAAAGCGCGAAAGACCGAGAGAGAGGGAGAGCGCGAGAGAGAAAGAGAGCGCGCGAGAGAGCGAGAGCGAGAGAAAGCGCGAAAGACCGAGAGAGAGGGAGAGCGCGAGAGAGAAAGAGAGCGCGCGAGAGAGCGAGAGCGAGAGAAAGCGCGAAAGACCGAGAGAGAGGGAGAGCGCGAGAGAGAAAGAGAGCGCGCGAGAGAGCGAGAGCGAGAGAAAGCGCGAAAGACCGAGAGAGAGGGAGAGCGCGAGAGAGAAAGAGAGCGCGCGAGAGAGCGAGAGCGAGAGAAAGCGCGAAAGACCGAGAGAGAGGGAGAGCGCGAGAGAGAAAGAGAGCGCGCGAGAGAGCGAGAGCGAGAGAAAGCGCGAAAGACCGAGAGAGAGGGAGAGCGCGAGAGAGAAAGAGAGCGCGCGAGAGAGCGAGAGCGAGAGAAAGCGCGAAAGACCGAGAGAGAGGGAGAGCGCGAGAGAGAAAGAGAGCGCGCGACAGAGCGAGAGAGAAAGAGAGCGCGCGAGAAAGCGAGAGAGAGTGCGAGAGAGAAAGAGTTTCAAGAGGGAGCGAGAGAGTGCGAGAGAGAGAACATAGAGAGAGAGAGCGCGCGAGAGAGAGAGTGCGAGAGGCAGAGCTTTGAGAGAGAGGGAGAGCGTGAGAGAGAGCGCAGAAGAGAGCGCGAGAGACCGCAAGAGAGAGAGAGAGTTTTAAAAGAGAGCGAGAGAGAGCGCGAGAGAGAGTGCGAGAGAGAGCGCGAGAGAGAGTGCGAGAGAGAGCGCGAGAGAGAGCGCAAAAGAGAGCGCGAGAGAGACGCGTCAATCCGCGGCAGCGCAGCAATATGTAAATCGCGGCGGTAGAAAATTTGTTTAAAAGCTTACGGGTGCGTACTAAATTGCAGAAAGTTAAATATCCTTTTTTCGGGTGAAATTGGCACGGTCGGCCGTTCGTTCGGTCGCGTGTGGCTTTCCATTTTTCTCGCTTTCATCCGTTTTTTTTCCTCTCTCTTTTTTTTGTTTCACCGCCGTCGAATCGGTTCCCGCATTTGCCCGATTTGCCGGCGCGAATTGTCAAACGTTTTGGAAAGCTTGATTAAAAACATTTACCATCGATACGATGGGACCGCGGACGCGAAGCGTCGGGTACAATGGGGACGCCAGTAGTTCCATTGATTCGAATTGACACGATCGCGGCCCCCGCAGCCTGGGAAACGGTAATTTGCGGCCAAAGGTCGCGATTTCGTGCGACTTTTTCCTTCGAAAATTGCAAGAGCGGTTTACGCGAATAACAAACTCGAGCGATGGGTGTTCGATACCACTTGTCCGGATGGAAATATGCACGCACTCGGTCGACAAATTTGTAGATATTCGTGTCGAGTGCTGTGAATGTTCGAGAGGACCATCGAGTCGCGAAATATAACATTTATACAAATTATTGATAATTTTCAATAATAATTCAATATGAAATTTAATTTAATATTGATAAATAATAACGGTGATGTTAATTACTATATCGAGTATTTTTCAGCAGAATAGAAATTGTCTGCAACGATCGCAGGGTTATGTCAAATTATTAATAATTTATAATATTAATTCAATATAAGATTGATTTTAATAGCAATTATTAATATCTGTGCTATTAATTACTATACCGAGGATTTTTTGGCAGAATAGAAATTGTCTGCAACGATCGCGGGGTTATGTCAAATTATTAATAATTTGTTAAGAATTTTTTAAGGCAGAAAATGATAATTAGTATGAATAAACTTACCCTGAAAAAGGTAGCAAGAAAGGAAAAGTCGAGTCCTCTCGGCCTCGATGCTAGCGCAACGCCGCCGCGACGTTGCCGCCGCCTCCTCGGCGCCTCGCCGCCACCGAGCGAGCAAATCGGTTTTGCTCGGCTCGATGATGACGTTGGAATCGAGTTACGCAAAATGGATTTCACGTTAAATAACTATCGCGTGTCTCGTCCCCGCGCCACGCATCCGTCGGCGTCCCTTAGGAATCAGCTTTTCAGACTCGGTCGAGCTTATTATCGATTGCTCGATCGATCATAGTCGTACGTGCCATGGAAACTGCGTGGATGATCGTGTATTTCATGTCACAGACGTCGACCAAATGTTAAGCGCGTGGACTTTGCCGAACGTTTTTACCGAACGTTTTTACCGAACAGTTTTATATTCATCGTTTTTAATTTTTATCGAACATTTTCAATTTTTACTGAATTTTATTTACTGAACGTTTTTACCGAACATTTTCACTCATTATTTTTAATTTTTGCTGAACACATTCAATTTTTATCGAACGTTTTTACTGAATATTTTTACTTATCATTTTTAATTTTTACTGAACATTTTCAATTTTTACTGAATTTTATTTATTGTCAGAAGAAAAGAAACAATTTTCCACGCAATTTTGACTTTGCATAAAAACACGCACTACCGGCAGCACTGTATTTTGAAGAATACCTTTCGCTATTTTTTCCTGCGAATCGCGTAGAATTCCGTGAAATCAGCGTGTCGTTACGATAACGCGTCTCGTTTCTCTGTTGAATTCCGGCCGGACTTCTTTTCCCGCGGCAATTCGCCGGCGTTGAGACAAATCGCGACGAAAGCACGGCGAAGAACGCGGCCGGTTATTATTGGGTGAACGGGGGGCTTGTCGAGGGGACGTGGAATAATGCCGCGACAAGCGTCATCGGCTCGAATTGCGAGCAATTTTCGCCAATCCAGCGGCACCCGAGGCTGGTCGCGTGGGTTTAGCGATAATGTTTGGGGTCGAGTTTACACCTTTCGGGCCGACATCGAGTGCCCCGGCGCACGGTCACTCATAATTCTACGCTCTACGCCCCGAGATCGCGTTCGCTGATAAATGAAACCCGACGAGCCGGGCCTGTTTTGCGGCCGACTGCTGAATTTCGTTCCCCCGGTAACCGTGAACTATTCGCTGCCGCTTCTACTCGGATCGTGTTCCCAAAAACTCGAGGGGCTTCGCGGCTCGTCGGCCACGAAATCAACTATTTTTTATTTTAGAGAGAGAGCTCTCAAAATTAGGCTGCGATTCTGCGAAATAATTGAGAAACTAAATGGAAAGTAGCGGCGAAAAAATATTCTCACGATACATTCGGTAATTGTTTAAATAATAATTTACACGATGCGGATTTTTATGAAACTCAAGAATGTTGTAGAGCTTGACAGTCTCGACAAGTTTTTCCTTTACGGAATGTCGATATCTGCTTCGGTTCAGGAGATATTCAAGAAAAACTGAAGACCTAACCCAGACCTAACGCGAACCTAACGCAGACCTAACGTAGAATTGATACGTTTGTAATTGGAGTGCACTGTGGGCTTATGGCGACATTGGGTAGTTGAAATATGGTAGCTCGAAGACTTCAGGACGATTTAATAACATTGACATTGTGTTTTTAAGCTATAAAAATTATTTAGAAAGTAAGCAATTTATTCTTATGTCGTTCTTGTTTTTTAAAATCGTTTTGGAATATTTGCACGGAGTATTTATATTTGTAGTTTTCAAGAGTGCGTTAGGTCTACGTTAGGTCTGCGTTAGTCTATGTTAGGTCTGTGTTAGGTCTGCGTTAGGTCTGTGTTAAGTCTGCGTTAGAATACATTGGGTCTGCATTAGGTTTCTGTTGGATTCCATTAGGCTGTGTTAGGTCTGCATTAGAGCTGCGTTAAGTCTGCGTTAGGTCTATGTTAGGTCTGTGTTAAACTGCGTTAAACTGTGTTAGTTCCGCGTTAGGTCTGCATTAGACTGCCTTAGGTCCACGTTAGGTCTGCGTTAGGTTTGCCTTCGTCTGCGTTAGCCTGCGTTAGGACTGCGTTAAATCTGTGTTAGATTGCGTTAGGTTGCGTTAAGTCTACGTTAGATTGCGTTAGATCTGCGTTAGGTCTGCGTTAGATTGCGTTAGGTTTGCGTTAGGTCTGCGTGAAATTGCGTTAGGTCTACGTTAAACTGCGTTAGGTCTACGTTAGACCGCGTTAGGTCTACGTTAGGTCCGCGTTAGGTCCACGTTAGGTCTGCGTTAGGTCTGCGTTAGGTCCCGGTTACGTCTGCGTTAGCATTCCCCTCATCACCGACTCTCCGATTTCCCGTACGTTCCGCAACAAAATCATTTCGCCGTACAACGCTCGCATTGTTTCACACCGCGGCCGATCCGTTTCTATCGGGCGCGAAGAATCCGCGGCGCGTTAACGGCCATTCCCGGAGAAGAAATAGCACCGGGTGTCGGCGTTTCATTTATTGCCGTACTATTTTTGCGAAACGACCATAAAACGCGACTAATTACAACGAATGTCCGAAAGCGACCGGTGAAAAACGAACCTCTCGTTGCGCGGCCAAACACACAGCCACGCGTGCGCGCGCGCACACACACATAGACGGACGGTACGGCGTGTGATATGTGTTCATTGACTTTCGTTTGTTTAGACGTATTTGAACGCGGCCAGTGAGGAATCGGCGCGAACTTTTCGGGCACCCGAATGAATTTCGGTCCGGCGGCGCAACCGGGCTCCGGATTTCCGAGAAAAAGAGAGAAACAGCGCGCGTCGGATAGGTGGCAGAGGGAGAAGGGAGGGGAGCGGGGGAGGAAAATTTGTCGATGTTAGGAGAGAATCTCGTGGATGGGGGCGGGGGAGCAGAATTTATTTGGAACGCGCATCGGTAGTTGGTTTAATTAGATTTATGCCGAGGTCATTTGGAAAAGTAAGAATCTAGAACGCGGCGCAGCCCGGCAAATGGAGAAACAGGAGTCGGGCTCGCGAAATTTTTTGGCAGCGATACGGCCGCGAGCCGCCGCGCCGAACTTTCGCTTTACCGGTGTTCGGCTCGCGGGCTCCGCTTTTTTGTTTCAACATCGCCGACGCAGAGAGAGAGAGAGAGAGAGAGAGAGGAGGTCTCTCATATTCGTCCGCGTCACGGCTATAATAATTAATATTTTTACAAAACATTTTTACAACTTCATCAAAAAAAAAATTGTCGAAAGTCATCGCTTCGATTTTTCAATAGCCTTTCATATTCCTCCGCCTCACGACTACAATAATTAATATTTTTACAAGACAATTTTTCAAGAGATAGTTCAAGAAACGACCTCTCTAACGCCATAAAACATCCCCCAAAAAACAGTAACATCGTCGAAAAAGAAAACCCAACAAAACAACATTCCTCAGCACTGCGATCCCAAGCGAAGAAAAGACCTTAAACGGTTCTCGCATTACAATAACAAACTCTGTAACACGATCTGTGTTTTGAATGGGGAAGGGGGGAGGAGTTTCGACGAAGCGTCTCGCACGAATAAATTCATAGCGGTCTTTGTGGGAGCCGGCGCGCGGTTGTCTGGGAAAGGGACAATATCGGCGGTTCAATAACGTCTCGGCGACAGCGGCGGCGCTTTCTGAGGTGTTCGAAAGTTGGTCAACGAAGCTGCCTATTTCCCGCGGAGATCGTTGCGAAGCCAGTTATCGCGATACCACTGTTTTCTTACAATGGCCGATGGTTTATAAGCTGCCGTGGCGCGGCGCCGGCGTTTCCTTCTACTTATTCGGGAAGTTCGGTGTTCCCCGTTGTTGCCGTAGCTGGCAACGACGTCGAGTATTCTTGTTTCGAAAGCAGCCCCGGCCACGGTTCGTTAAACCGTGACAATTAAACCGGCGCGTGGGATGGGCCCGCGAGCATTCGCTGCTTCTGCTGCTGATTTTTAGCGATCCCCGGCGTTAAACGCTTCGCGCACCTCGGAACTACCAACGGGATATTCAATTTCTACTAATATTTGCCTCCGTAAACGAAATCCCCCGTAGAGAGAACCCTCCGCAAGTCGGGCTTACGACTCCTTCGCGGAATCCTCGACGCGTTACAATCAGCGCATGCTGCCGAAAAATCGTTTCAAGGAGTCTCGTTGTAACCGGCATCTTCGCGAATTTTTTTCGGCAGAACTATCCAAGATAAGAGAATAAACTCTTCGCAGATTTATAGACTAGTCTTTAAGGCTACGCGAGGATATTTATTTTTGGTGAATTTGTTTATTTAAAAGATCGCGAATTGTGTCGAATCGCGCCGTGGGTAAATAGATTTGATATGTGTAGCATTTTTTTTAATAATAATATAAAAATTCAAGGAATGAATAATTTTCTCAAAATTGAACAGTTTATAATAGCTTCTATCGTGTGTCGAAGGTTTAGAAGATATACGATCGTTTTTCATCGGCAATGTTGAATTCACGTGTACACAATGTTCCGGAAGGTGATTTGGAGTAACTTTTTCTCCTTTGCGGAAATCTTCTACGAGACTCCGTTAACGAGTTATTGAGAAAGAAACGTAGACCAATCGAAGCGCGAGTACCGGACGAGTAGGCGGCGCGGCGGCGAGCGGGACGAGCCAGTGGCCGCGGGGCTCGAGGGCGTGGCGCCAGCGTGCGCTGATTGGTCCGCGTTTTTCATAAATATCTCTTTAACGGAGCCTCGGAGAAGATTTTCGCAAAGGAAAAAGTTGCTTGAAATGGCCTGAGGAATCTCTCGCTTGCCGGATTACGTCGAANGGCCGCGGGGCTCGAGGGCGTGGCGCCAGCGTGCGCTGATTGGTCCGCGTTTTTCATAAATATCTCTTTAACGGAGCCTCGGAGAAGATTTTCGCAAAGGAAAAAGTTGCTTGAAATTGCCTGAGGAATCGTCTGTATTCAGGTTGAACACGTACTATAATAATTGTAGGACTTAAATAAAAAAAACAGTACTGGTTTACGAGTTAGTTATGAAATTTATATTTCGCAGTAGTCATTGTGTACAATCAATTGTTATAATCATTCAATCTGAATTGTCGGAACCTAAATAGCAACAATGCGAATCCTCCCAAAACAATAATGACGTCGCAACAACATCGGCTTTTGGGAAATGAAAACGGCCAGTTATTGTCTAGTTTAGAGCATCTATGAGGCCGAAGCCTGCTCTGACCGGGCGAAGTGGTGCTCACTTATGCCGGTCGATGGTAAGTCAGCGGTGAACAGCTGCGAAGGAACCGGAACTTGGATCCATCGCGCCCTCGCTGTTAAGTTCATTGGACCGGGGAGTCAGAAGACCCGGTCTTAACTCATCTGTTGGCTGCAAGGAGTTGTATG